TTTTTTTTTTTTTTTTTTTTTTTTTTTTTTTTTTTTTTTTTTTTTTTTTTTTTTTTTTTTTTTTTCCGTCTGCTTACGATCAGTGATTGTATTCGTTAATTTGCCGACTGTTTTGTGAATGCTTCCTACAGTCGTCCCCCGAATACAACGTACGGTCATTATAGCTGAATTCGGGGCATCCTTCAGTCTAAATTCAGCTATAATGGCCGTACGTTGTATTCTGGGGGAAGAAGGTCGTAGGCTCTTTCTTTTCTTTTTTTTACCATTAAAAAAATAAAAAGTTAAATAACGAAAAACTCATCTAGGGCATACTCATACTAGGACTTTTCACTTATTTTATGGCTGCAATTGCAGTTACATACGTCCAGGTACGGTCGGAAATGCAGTCAGTCAGATACATCTAAGATAGACCTACCGTGGTCGCCCGCACAGAAGGCCCCCGGTGGTCATTATAGCTGTATTCATGTGTCGTTCTGCGCGAGCCTGCTATTAACTTTTTTTTTCTTTTCTTTGGGTTGGATCCACCCGAGGGTGGGTAGCCTAAACCGTATGTGTTCATATAGTCCGTAGACTATTCCCGTCCTTATCGAGGGAGATGCTAACCTTCTCTCAGCTCAACGAACACCAGCCTGCTATTAGCTGAGGAACCTGGAAAGTCTGTTTAGAAAAAATAATAATATTTAAAAAAAAGGCGATGGTTTGCGAATATTTCTCGTCCGAAGAACACAACGGACGCTGAGCATGACTGAATACAAGGGATCTGTGCGGTCTGATTCATTGATTATGAGGGTGCATTTTGCGTTCTATTCGGGGGAAGACGGTGCTGTAGTACAGAAACTCAGACATGTGCGAGGGAGGGCATGATAAACCACGCCTAGCTTGTTCTAAGGGTTAGCTTATGGTTGGAAGGGTATACTCACTCATAGTGGGACTTAGTGGGACGTATTTGACCTGAATCAGGACCCAATTCAGTCAAAGAAGTCCCAGTGAAAATAGGCCCTCAGGACACCAGGGGCCAGGTTCTACTTGCACAGCAGATTCATTGCTCCTGGCCGTAGATCCGCAGAGAGATCAATGGCCTATGGGTCTCGTTAGACACTCCTAAAAGAATCTTAAAATCTTTAGGACGAGTCCTAAAGGTTTTTTAGGATTTCGTGCGGCGTCGTTACACAGTCCTAAAAATCATCTTTTAGGACTCGTCCTAAAAGGTTTCCCGCGGCCCGTTTTCATACGCGTATACGCAGCCGTGCCGCCGATGTCCGTCCATTCCTGGGCGGTGTCCGTGGTAAAGAATGCGGTGGGCCTCGGGCGGGAGTCGACAGATCGGTGAGAAGCGCAGTTCCCCAGAACTTCAAAATAACGAATTCGAATTCTCGCGGACGCAGGGTGGGTGGGCGGAGGGCAGCCATGCGACGTGTGTGACATGAAAAAGACGGCGCCTCCCTGCCGTTCGCCGCGCGGAATCCATCTTTCGAGCGTACGCAACTTGCGAGCAGCGGGCGCATCATCGTGTGAGCCGCACGTTCGCGTCCGGCGTGCGTACCGTCCTTTACACGCGTGGAGCAGCGGGCGCGTCTTCGTCTCCTGTGCCATCATACAGCAGCGTTCGCATCTTGGACTCAGGCGTTCTTTGTCGACGACGGCAGGGTTCCGCAGCGGGCGTGTCTGAGGCGGCTGTCGAAGGCGTGACGCGGCAAACCGTGCGAAGATTGCCAGAGATGGACAGTCATGGCTGCTCAAACGGTCTTCGCGAAGAAGAGATCGACGCCGTGGCGGTGGCGGTGACTGCCGTCGTCGTGAACACAATGGGCGACTTGGAGTCCTCGTCGCGCGACATGATGATGCGGCTCCGCCAACGAAGAGCGCTGTTGCAGAGCGTTGCAGAGGCGCCGGATTGCGCGGCGACGTGTAAGGCAGTCGTCCAGTTGTGTGCCGCGCTGTCGTCTGGCGTTTTCCCGCGGCAGACTCCGCGGTGGTGGATTAGACAACGGACTGGCGGGACATGGGAGGACCTCCGGCTTCGGGACGACGCGACGAACGAGTACTTCCGGCAGAAGCTGCGCATGTCGACGGCCATGTTCAACTAGATCGTAGCCGCGTGCGTCACGTACATGGAGAAGAAGGTGACGCACTATCGAATGCCATTGCCAGTGGAGCAGCTGATTGGTTTCACGTTATACAGGTGGGCGTCCGGAGAGACGTACGAGAGCGGCAAGTAAGCATTCGGCATCGGCAGGGCAACTGGACTGCAGGCCGTCCGCGACGTCACTTCGGCGCTGCTGCAGGCGTACCCCGACTCGATAAAGTGGCCAGTGGGCAGGAGACGTGCGCAGATTCTGCGCGCTTCCGTGATAAAGGTTTCCCAAACTGCTTCGGCGCTATCGACTGTACACACATCTACATTGACAAGCCCGCCGACGCACCTTCCGAGAACTACTACGACCGCAAACAGAAGTTCTCCATGCAGGCGCAGGTGGTTGTGGATTTGGATCTGTGGATCTTGGACGTCCATGTGGGATACCCTGGAAGTGTGCACGACGTCCGTATCCTGCACAATTCGCAGTTGTTAAGGCGTGCAGAAAGTGGCGAGCTGTTCGACGCGACTCCGGAGAATCTGCCGCACGGTATCGTCACGCGAGGCTACCTGCTGGGCGACAACGGTTATCCAGTTGCCTGTCCGTGGATTGTGCAGCCGTACGGAGGAATCAACCAAGATGCTGACGAGGAGCGCTTCGACACGCGGCAAGAGGTGGCACGGGGGTGTGTGGAGAGGGCATTCGGCCGACTCAAGTGCTTGTGGCGTCTGTTCTTGCGCACCCACAAGACGAACCTGGACACCTTGCCACAACAATTCGTGGCTGTCTGCACTCTCTACAATATCCTCCTGGACGCAGGGATCGATTTCGACGAGAACCTTCTATGGGAGGTGGATGCGAACGGCGTTCGGCGTAGAGTGGACCTGGGCATTGTGGGGAACGGCGCACGCGGGCGGGGACGGTGCACAAACGTGGAAGGGGAATTGTTGAGGGATGCACTGCGAGACCGCCTAGCTTTGATGTAGGACCGTGCGGTCGGGAGGTCGGCGGGGGGGGAGGGGGGAGGGATGGTTGCACATGGGGTGGTTCGATCGGGAGGCGGCTGGAGTTATGACATGGTCCCTATCCATGGTCGTCATGCGCGTGGTTGGTGGGTCGATGGAATGGCGGCATGGTTGTCGTCGACGAGTTCACATTATCGTTTTCATGCTGTTGCTGGCTACCTGGTTCGCACAGTTGTGCGAAGTTTTAACATTGGAAGAACCTTTTTTTTTGCTAGTGTGTGACCTCGTAATTACGACATTTTTTATTTTTTATTTTTCCTGTCTTCAAATCGTTTGTAATGAACGGTGTCGTGCGATGGGAAGCATGTTTTTTTTTTTTTTTTTTTCCTCGCTATCCGTCTGTGGAAATTTTTGTTTATCTTTATCGTTTTTTGGTGCATATCTTCATTTCCGTTTTCATGACCGGTTTCGTGTGCTGTTGTGGTGGGATGACATGTGCAACATGCTTTTGTACAATCCCGACATGCATTATCTGAATCCATGATCAACGCATGTCTCTTGCATGTCGTGAAGCCCATGCGAAGAACAAGAACAAGTGAAACGCAGACAAGGACACTTCATGACACGCACGACAGTTGTGTCCCACTACAGACATGACGACATTCATCACACCGACATATGACAAAGTCCTAAGAGTTGTCACACGCATCGCAAAAAGGAAAACACCAATTAACCGCGAGGCGCTTCAAATCGTCCGAGACAACGACGAGTATCATGCATTGATAAAACAATTCTGTGCGCTGAACGCCCAGGAAAAAAAAAAAAAAAAAAAGAACACTGCACACCTACGCAACCTGCACACTGCACACCTACGAAACCTTCGAAGATTCAGGCGAATCCCTCCGGCCAACACGCTAACCACCGAAACTACAATTACACAATCGAACTTGATGAAGGGGGATTCTAGCGAATCCCGGTGGCCGACACGCTGAACAGGTGTGCCACGCACAACAGTCCAATCACACGACAGCCCGTGACGTCACGCAATGCGTACATGCGCCTTCGTTCTTAGAAGCGCAGTCTCCCCGCTCTTCCCTCGCAAACACGCCCGCCTTATGCGTCGTCTTTTCCTTCGCCTTTGATGTCATCATTGGGGGGGCCCGAACCCAACCAATCCAGCCTCTTCGCATCCTTCGGCCCCTTGATGCTCGCGTCGTGCGCAAATCCGATGTCGCATGGTGCCCAATTAGGGGTGTAGTCGGGGTACACTCTGAGCGTGGCTTTCGCCTTCCCAAGCCTCTCCGTGACAACGTTCGCGGCGTGAACGACGGATTGTCGATGATCGAAGGAGCGATGCATGGACGTGATTAGTGTCGGCCTGGCGACGAGATCCGCGAAGTAAAATGCTTCGTAGTGACTGCGCGGATCGTTTCCCGCCATGTGCATAATCCACATGGACGCCGCCAGCAACAGCCTGAAGCAGTCAGCCACCCGACATAGAAGGTCGTAGGAGATGAAATCGCCGTCGATGTAAGCGCCCATTTGCACCGCCGCTCGGAATGAATACACGATGCTCACGACGATGGACTCCTGGTGCGCAGCCATGTCGTTGTCCTCAGGTCTGTCCTCGATATTCACGCAGGCGTACCACAACGGAAGGTCCATGTTCAGATCCATCGTATGGGCGCAGATCGGCGCGCTGACGACGTTGCACCACTCCTCGCCGTACCACATTGCACGCGCAATGTCCGTCGCTACGGACTCCAACGAGTACTGGAAAGCAAGGTGGTACCCCCTTGGGCGGTTCCCGGACTTGAAAACCCAGCCGTGCAAGATGCGCAGAGCTATATTCTCCACCGCCGCCGCACGGGAGATCGCTTGCTGGAGCTGTGATTGGTCTGCGATCCTCGTCACCCTAGTGCTGGATTTGGGGACGACAACGCTCCGTGGAAGGTCAGGTGGCGGAAGGCCGCTGGCGATGGCGACGAAGTACTCTTTCATTTCGTGGACGATGTTGTAAAGTCTGCGTACTTCACCCGTTACCCAGAAAGCTTTGTCATCCACCCAAAACAGCGCACGGTCGATAAGGTCTTTCGTCATGACTCCCCTGCGCGCCTGGCTTGAAGCGGCCTCGCCGCCATCCCGTTGGTTCGTGTCCTGTCCACGACCCTCCTCTCTCACCATCGCTGGAACTGCAGCCTCCTCTCTCGCCGCTGCAACGGGAGGGACAACACCTGCAACACCCACACCCGCGTCACCTGCCGCCTCGCCCCCTGCTGCTCGCGCGTTTGCCACGACTCCCCTTCCCCCCACCGCGTTGGAGAGACGCACCGTGGCCACCGTCATTGCGCTGACGCGGCTGATACGGCGTGCTGAGGAGTGCACCTATGATTGGCCTTTCGTCCGCCGCAGCGCGAGCCGTTGACACCGCCGCTGCGGTCGCTTGTGTCGCAGTGCGCAGGCGATGTTCCTCCAAAGGCTCGTCGTCATCGCCGCCAAGGTCCACCACAACACCCTTCTCTTTCCATGTTTCGCGGACACGTAGCCGCTGCGCCTCCGGCGGAGGGGTTGACATCCTCTTCGAAGCGCTCTGATCGGAAGTACGCTGCCTAGCACTCTCCCGACCTGCAGACGTCGTCGCCTCGCCTTGATCGTCCTCCGTCGTGAAATCATCTAAGTTGTACTATTCCGCGGACTGCGCCCAACCTCGCCTTCCACGAGGCGGCACACTTGCAGACGCATCTTCCGAACGAAGCCTCTTCGCCATTGGGACGTGTCGCCGACCTTTCCCCTGGGCTTGGGTTTCGTCAAGTGCGACATCGCGGTTCTTGCCACGGGCGTTCAATCGCGCAGATATGCTTGCTGGGGACCTCCACAGGCGATCTCGGTGGAGCGCTCAGCTGACGTGTGCTGTTTCGTCGAAAACGATGTCACCCGTCTCTTGCCACCTTGGCGAGAACTACTATCCCGACGACGCTCAAGATGTGTCCTCCGGTGCAGGAAGACGACAATGCGCAAGCGCAGCACGGAAGGATGACGTCCCCGACGACACCTGTCCTTCACGATGGCGGGAGTGCTCCGCGGCGAGATGAATGACGTCCGACGACGACGACTGCGACAGAAGAACAACCATGAACCTCGAAGCGCACCTCGTCGAGAAGATTGATTGCCAGATGAGCGGAAGCGATGAAGGTGAGGAGCGGCCCGCTGCCTGCGTTGTGACGCCCGATGTCCACGTCACGAGATGTCTGCGTGGGTGACGGTGGCGGTCATCGACCAAGATGCGGACAAGGAAGCGTGGAGGAGGACACAATTATCCCCGGCGAGAAGCGTTGTGGTACTGCAGATGCGCGGCGGGAAGTGTGTAGCTGGCCCGTGAAGAAGCGTTGTGGACTCACCCTCGTGCGGACGACATTTATGCGGCTCCAGATGCGCAACACTGGAATGCTAGCAGCAGCAGGACCGTCCACCACGTCGCGTCCTCGTGGCAGGAAAATGGAACGACGACGGCGACACGTGCTACCGCCATGCCTGTCCAGGCGTGTCATTATGAAGCTCCCAAAGCCGCGAAAAGGCCCTTCCACGTTCGGTCGACGCGCGCGAATGCACTCCCGAAGGACCAAAACAAAGACGGCCCGCCTTCACCCGCGGACACCCCATCGCGCGTGCCCCCCGCAGCCAACGACCCCTCCG